AGCGATCACCATCGATGTCCCTTGTGGAGGCGTTGTCGATGGAGAACACGAACAAGTTGGTGCAGTCTTCACGGGGGACGCTGGAGGATTCTTCGTCCTCGCTTCTCAACTTCCAAGACGAGGGCTCAGGGTACCTGCCTTCAGGTCTCACGAGCTCCACCTTGTGGACACAAACATCTACCGTGAGGGGAGGACGCCGAAGAAGTTCTGATACACTAGAAGCTCGACCTCAAAATTCCCAACCTAGCAGTCCCGTCACAAGAGCGACCAGGGAGGTTCAGAGAAGCGTCTCGGGGTAGAGCAGGCGAGAGGGAGGAGAGGGAAGGCAAGGATAGAAGGGTTACCGGCCCGTATATCTCGACGATCTCTGCTTGATGCCTTTGAACAAGATCGTTAGCGGCAGGACCGGCAGTCGGGTAAGAGTCACATTTTGCTGTTGCCTCCTCCAGTCCCGTCCGATCCCTGAGCATCTCCATCCAGGATCTTCACCTGCCAGACTGTGAGGGTGCAGTGATCGCCTGGAAACATTCACACCTTCCCCCAGTGGTTCAGTTTGGTGTCTTTCTTGGTCTGGACAACACATTGCTGCCCCTGAACACCGTCGTCAAGCGCCATGTGAAACCTTTCCCAGCTGAAACCTGCTCGAACAGGATGGTACATGGGACCCCAAAGCGCCCTAGGGGGAGGGAAGAGGGGTGGTTAGTTCAAAGAACTATCCTCTCCTACACTACCGATTCGATTGGGGCTGTCGAAGCGGATCACTGGCAGCTCGCGTCAGGAGCCCGGGGTGAGCGCAAATGCAAGCATACCAACAAACTTGAAGTCCGAGGACATCATTCGACGATGCTCCCTGTACGCACTTGTGTCTGTAGGAAAGAGGTTCAGCCAAGACATGGAATAATCATTCCTTCAAATCTCTCGAGCGATAGCAGCAGAGCAGAGTCAACGTGGCAGCGAAAGCGAGGAAGAGGACTGAAAGGAGCTCTACTAGACTACTAAGAATTCTGTAGACTACACCATCATCTACAGCAGCGAATAAACCAGCGTGCTATGAACCAAAAAAAGACAACTGCTACTGGTTCAGATAAATGAATTCTTCACGGTTCAGATCAGTCATCGAAGGCAGATGAAAAGGTCCCCAAAACTGCCATGATCGCCGTGATCGCCATCACAGCCATCATCAACATCGCAGCCATCATCAACATCGCAGCCATCATCAACATCGCAGCCATCATCGCCATGGCCGCCATGGTCACCAGGTCTGTCCGCATCGGCACGACTGACCATAGGTGCGGCCATCAGCATCAAAATTGGGTTTTACTCAATAAATCTTAGCTGGGATAACAATAGACCTTGACAGTCCGCCCCAGAATCATATATAGACAACTGCAAAGTTAGAGCCTCAGAATGGCTGCATGACGCGGAGCTGGTCAGGTTGTGCTGCCCCTACTAGGCTAGTATCTTATTCTGGGGCGAACTTGTTCATTCCATCACCCAGGCCTCTACTAGGCTAGCAGCGAGCCATCACAGAAAACAGCGGGGCCGTGACGGCGCTGTCGATAAACTTGCGAGAAAGGCAGGGCGCCGCTGTGCCTTTTAGCGCGGGCCCGGCGGGCGCCCCCCGCCGCCGCGCTCGAGTCCGACGGTCACCATTCTTAGTAAAGTTCTACTCATCCTCGATACTCATTCAGTGATTTGATCCAATTCAAGGCAAGTTGGCATTGAAGTGCACAGCCCCCCCGACGCCCCCCCGCCGGGCCGCAGCGGCCCGCGGTCCGGCCCCCGGGCCCCCGCCCCGGCGGTGATCCCCTCTCTCAGACTTCGGTTACCAGAGCCGTTGTGCTGCCGTTGACCTGCGATGTCAAAGCGCCATGCCTTGCCTTGGAAACTTCACTGCAGCAAGCTCATGCACGCACAGACATGGCCTTGTCTATCCAAACACTAGTGCCAGTGCCAGCACAACTTGAACCGAGCCATCCATGCTAGGCTACCACACTTGCTTCTATCTGCTTGTTAGCTGTGACCCAGTGTCCTGTCCCCTTGGTCCTCCGCACTGACTGACTCTGGGTGAGCGCAGAGGGTAGCCAACATGATACAGGGGCAAGGTTGAAAGCTGCTGGAGCATGTCGTTCCTCAACAAGAAATGGTTGTGAGACCCTTGCGACTGAAGCACTGGAGCTTACAAGGATTCTTGTCAGGCCGGACTGGGTGAAGGCCGAACTTTATGCCGACGGGATGGATGACGATAAGAGTGTCTCGGTATCTCCGCTCGTCATGTCATGTTGTGATGGACCTGAAGATGCCGGCAGGTTGTTGGGAGCAGAGGGCTGCGATCTCTAGCGGAAAACAGAAGCAAAGCTCAGCAGAGCAGCGAGAAGGCCGCTGGCGACGTCGCAGTTGAAAGATCGGTCTCCAGACAGGCGAACAACAGGCCGATGAGCGCGTCTGAATGTACTGAAAGTCGAGGATGTGCGAGGAGTTGACGGCTTGTTGCCCTTCAGTTAGGCAAGGCTCCTCCGACTCGAGCAAGAAGTTCTCGATCGCAGTCCAAGACTATGAGCGGAACCTGTCAGTGCTGCGAAAGGAGCGGGACAACCTGCATGAAGAGGTCTCATGTTCGTACAACTTCACATGCCTCTAGGTCTGATCCAACATCGTTGCAGAACTCTTCTCTTCGTCGTGCCCTTGAGGCAACGACGAAGAAGCTGGTCGTGAACCGACTCTTGCTCGTGCTCGCTGCGGGCTGACATGACATCCGATATCTCAGGAGGCGCTGGAGATTGAACGAGCTTACTCCTCGCAGGTTTGACAAGGAAGTTTGACAAGTGCGAGGGGAAAGTGACGTCTGCGTTGACAGTTGCGATCTCGGAACGACGTGTCCAACACCGTCCATGACATGATTGAGAAGCTGTCAACGTACACACGAGATATCTTGTGATGTTGGCGACTGAGAAGAAGCCTGCACAGATGTCAGAAGAAGATCAAAGTGTTAGAGGATGAAAAGAGGCAGATTCAGCATGCTCACATCAAGGCAATGCAAGATATGACAGTGAGATGTGAGGCGGCGGAAAAGAAGGTTGCCGAGCTCAAGGTTGGCAAGAACGCTCCTGGCTGTCATCTCAGAGTCGCTGGCAGGGAACGATCAGCTTGCAGGAGCGAAAGCTGCAGAGAGAGTCGACCGTGCTGTCTGTTGAGATGCAGAGGATGGCGGCGAGTCATGCGAGGGAGGTGAGGGGAGCAGTTGATTGGTCGACGACGTGGAGGGAAGACTGAGATGTTGAAAGGTTGAGACCTTAGAGACCAAGTTTCAGAAAGCGAACCAAGTCAGTCAGGTGTCTGATCTGAGCGATCTTGACCCTCTTGTCTTGTCTGACTTTGTCCTGTCAGGTGGCTGACGACCTGAGAAGGGAGTGGGAGAAGGAGAGAGAGGCATTGAAGAGGAAGCTTCAAAGCTGCGAGCAGAACTCCAACGAGCTTCGCAAGCTGCTAGGTTTGTGTGTAAGCGAGAGTGTGTTCCTGCACGTGAAGGGGGAGACAACAGGTGAATCGGAGGCAACGGCGACAAGACTGAGGGCGGAGCTTGAAGCTGGTGAAATGCTTTTTCTCGCTATGATGATCGGTGTCACGAGCATGTTTGTGTGCTCGTTCAGCGAGAGCGCATGGCAGGGATGATATGGACAGGATGATCAAAGTGAACAAGGACCGAGAGACCTTCGACTTGCAGGTTGAGCTACTTATAGTGATGAGAGACGATGATGGAGATGTGGTGATGGAGATGTAGTTGAATTTTGTGATGATGCAAATGTTGGCGATGATTTGTAATGATTTGTAAATGATAATGATGTTGGATGGTGATGATGATATGGCATAGACGTTGATGGTGATGGATTTTACTCAGACGGCTGACAAGCGAAGAATGCAATTGGAAGAAGAGATGAAAGCATTGAAACTGAAGGTTTGAAAAGAGAGCCATTGGATTGTGGTTGAAGACAGTACAGCACAAGGAGGAGATCGAAAAGCTGAGCAACTCATCTAAGTCAGATCTAGGAAGAGTACAAGAAGCGATCCGAACGTGAGATTCGCTTCTGATGGTCAAGAATTCTGTGATGGAGGTGCGAACAGCAAGCAAGCGAAATTCAATGAGGCGATGTCCCTCCTTGAAAGCGCCAAGTCGAGAGAGATTGCAAAACTGCAGGAGGTTGCAAGGTATTGAACTTGCAATGATGATGATGAATGATGGTGGAGGTGATGATAGTGATGGCGATGGAACTTTTATGCTGGAATTTGCTGCTAACATTGTTCATTTGTAGATCAGAGATCGAACAAGCCCAGCTCACACAGGCGCAAATGGTGAGCTTTTTGAATACTCCCCTTATTTGTTGTGATGTTCATACGCACGAAATCAATCGGCACTTGACATGATGTGATGTGATTAAGTTTTACGTGTGATTCCATATAGTGTCATGTGCATTCTCCATCATCGTTCACCATCATCATCATCATCACCACCACCACCACCACCACTATCATCATCATCATCATCATCATCATCATCATCATCATCATCATCATCATCATCATCAGCCTTCATGCAAATGATGTCTGGATGCAGCAACAGAACTTCAACGCGAAGTTGGAGGAGGTCAGGAAGACCTTCGACGAAAAGGAAAAGATATTGAGAAGATCGCTGGAGGTGTTTGAACAACTTTCCTCCTCTTACTCCTCCCTGACCTGACCTGATCCAACAGATCTCCTCAGCAGCGGCAAGGAAATTCAAAATCAATCACGACAGACTCGTCGAGGGCATTCACCAGCTCCTCTTGCTCCTCGAGAAAAGTAACAACCCCTTTTGACCTCCCCTGTTCTCCCTCTCCTTCCTTCTCTTCCTCTCAACTCAACTCCTCCCTTCTTCTCTCCTCCAACCTTTCCCCCCTCCTCTCCTCTCCTCTCCTCTCCTCTCCTCTCCTCTCCTCTCCTCTCCTCTCCTCTCCTCTCCTCTCCTCTCCTCTACTCTCCTCTCCCCACCACCTCTTGTTCTCCCCTCCTTTCTCTTCTACCTTCTCGCTGCTGCAGCTCTCCTGCTCTCAAACGCGCTCAACAGGTGGAGGAGACGAGACAAGAGATGTGGTGGCGATGCTCCGCAAACTACTTATCTCACATGTATCTAGCCTGGAGCTCGATGCGTTCGGTCTCGTTGATGATTGTGATGTATCACAGGTGAATTGACTCTTAAACCTTTTCAGAGATGTCCCTGGCGAGAAGAGCGAGCAGCAGAGACAAGGGAAACAACAGGAAACAGGAGGAGAGCGAGGAGAACGGGGAAGAGAACGAGGAGGAGGGGGATGGGGAAGGAGAGGAGGGGCAGAGGCAATTCCTGCATGACAAGAGTCATGAAAGCATGGTGCTCGAGTTCGAGGACGGTGGAGGCAGGAGGACGAAGGCTTCTTCGTCGCACAGAGGAAGGGCTCTGCGGTGGGAGGACCTGTACCATCGGCAGGGCTCAGGTGATTCACATTCGTTGGGGAGGGGAAGAGGAGCAACGAGAAGGAGGAGAAGGAAGCAGGAGGAGGAGGATATGGACAGGGAGGAGGCAGGAGGTAGGAGGCAGGAGGAGGCGTGAAGGGAGGGAGGGAGGGAGGGAAGACGAGAAGGAGAAGGACTCTCATGACGAGTTGCTTGCAGAAGGAGGGAAAAAGAGGCTGCAGCGATCAGAGACGGTGAGTTCATGGTTGACCTGTTGAGGGTGACACGTCCGATGTCTTCGATGTATCATGACACGTGGAGATGAATGCTGAGAAAGGGGAACTGTGAGATGTTTTCTCACCTGCTGCTCTCGCAGATTCCTCCGGAGATGCGATCTGTCCTACACGGGGACGTGGGAGAGGTGAAACGAGATGAGCTGTATGATGAGACTCTGCAATTCAGTTTGTCCATTGCTTCCCGTGCATGTCGTACGGCAAGTGTTTGCTCCTCATTCGCTTTCCTCAGCAACTATCCTCTATATCCCATCAACTTTGGGAGTCCTGCTGCCAGCTTCAGGTCTCAACTTCTTGACTTGCTCCTTTGTGAACTTGGAGTTCAAATGTTCAGAGGACGTACTGGACAGAGAGAATGTCAAACGCTCTTGGCAACCTGCTAAACATGAAACGGTCTGCTGCTCCATACATCACAACATGATACTCATCCTCCCTCCTCTATCCTCGTCCTCCGTCTTCCTCCTCCCTCTTTTCTCCTGCCTCCTCTTCGCTCCATTCTCCCTTCTCACTGCCCCTCCTCCTTCCTCCCTTCTCGCACCCCCTCCTACTCAGTTCCTTCTCCCTCTTTCCCTCCTCACATTATCGTATCCGTGGTGACTTTGGTTGTTGACAGGTCAGAGCGGACTAGGCGAGCATTCTTCCGGGGTTGTCGAGATTGCGTTTTACAGTCAGAATGCAAACATCGAATATCAACTCTCCATTATCATGGCAAGAATAAGCGGAAACAAGCTGTGATCTACACCAGCTGGCAAGGCTGGGTAAGACGTGATTGGATGTGATGTGATGTGATGTGATGTGATGTGATGTGATGTGATGTGATGTGATGTGATGTGATGTGGGATGTGATAACGCGGTATTATGAGGATATGATTGCTCAGAGTATCGTGTGGCTACATCCTCCTGTGCAGTATCCACCTGTCGTGTCATTCTTGTTCTGCGCCTGTATCTTTCCATCCATCTGCCTTTCTCCTCTCTCATCCAATTTCTCCCTCACAGACACGATTCACTCGCACCGTTGGCGACTTGCAAGCCAAGAGCGCATGGCGGCAGCAGCGAACCCTGACGGTGAGATTCCTCTTGGACGGAGCAGGAGCAGGAGCAGGAGCAGGAGCAGGAGCAGGAGCAGGAGCAGGAGCAGGTGGTGGTGGTGGTGGTGGAGGAGGAGGAGGAGATGGAGGAGGAGGAGCTGATGGAGCAAGCAGACGCTGACCTGCTTCTTCGCCTGGATGAGGCTGAGGGACGCAGGCCGCGCAGGGAGAGCGGCACAGAAGCTCTTGGAGGACTTGAAGAGCTGCGAGGAGAGGAGGAAGGAGGAGGAGGAGCGAGCAGCTGCGGACCTCCGGGCACAGCAGCAGTCCAGCGAGAGGTCCGCCATGGAGCAGGAGCGCGACTTCGCAGCTCGCTTGCAGGCGGACCGGGAGCACCTGCAGAGGAAGCACGAGGAGGCGCTCAAGAAGCACGCGACAGTCATGGAGCGCACGAGGGAGAGGTTCGAGTCCAGCAGGGCGGAGTGGGGCAGGAGGCTCCAGCTACTGTCGAGCTCGCTGCAGCTGGAAGTCACGTCCCTCAGCACAGAGCGCGAACTCCTCTCGCGCGACATCGCTCAGGCGAGCCTCAGGGCCCAGCTAGGCGTCCACCACCTACTCCAGCAGCTCGCCATGGTCAGGCAGCACGCCCAGGAGTGCCAGCAGGTGGAGCAGGAGACGGCCGAGCTGGTGGCCGGCAGAGCAGAGGAGCTGGAGGAGCGGCTGGGCCTTTTCGTGTCATCCAACAGTGAGCTGGAGCAGCAGGTGAGGACGCTCAAGGGTCAGGTCGCGTTCAAGGACTGGAGGATGAGGCGTCTGCTGCACGACCCTCGCCCTCCCCCGCAGCTCCATCAGACCTCGTCCGCCGTCAACGAAGTTCGGGACCCTGTAGCCACGGATCCCCGACAGCAGCATGCAGACCGTCTTGTCGAAGTTGCTCCTGCTCCTGCTCCTGCTCCTGCTCCTGCTCCTGCTCCTGCTCCTGCTCCTGCTCCTGCTCCTGCTCCTGCTCCTGCTCCACTCGCTCAGCAAGCAGTGGATATTTCGATATGGCAAAGGGATAGAGTGAGGGAGGAGTATTCAATCTCTTCACAGAGGGAACTCTCCTTCCCTGCTTTTGTTGCTGGCGAGGATTCTCGCGGACAGGCTGGAGGGGGCAGCGAAGGGGAGGAGGAGGAGGAGGTCGACGAGGAGCTGAAAGAGTACATGCAGCGAAGGAGGGCAGAGATCAGCTTGCAGCGATCGAGTAGCCCGGAGACATAGGAGGAGAAAAGGAGCAAAAGAACAACGACGACGATGGAGGAGGAGGGAAGAAACGAGCAACAAAAGGCGAGGAGGAGGAGGAGGAGGAAGAGATATGAAGTTTGTGTGTTTGTGGCTCTAGAGTGAAGGGTTGACAATGTTGAACGAGTACATGTAAAAGATAATCAAACTAAGTTCCTCGGTGTCAAATCAAACGAAGAATCTGCATTCTTCGTCTGATGTAACATCTTACCTCAGAGGCTCAAATATTCATTGGAAAAGGCGGACTTGTATTGTATCATAAGTCAAGGCCCTGTCAGCGAGGAACAGAGAGCTGGAAGATGCCAACGAAAGGCTAACAAACATCAAGGGGGAACCTAGCGAAACTGAGGACGTTCATGAGGACTGGAGGAGCGAGTCCTCCCTGACGAGGCTCTGTCGATGTTGGGGAAGCTCTACAAGAGACGCGACCATGTGGATGGGAAGTTGTGAATGGCACAACTTCCTCGCGCACCGGCTGCTTGTCGCCCTCAGCGTCGGCAGCGCCATGGAGGAGAAGGTAGCGGAGGGGAGAAGATGGAAACCAAAAAGATTAGAGTGGCGAGGGAATGGGCGGTCACTGGATCATCTGAGATGCGGAGAAGCTGATGCAAGATGAACTTGCTGTCAAAGCACAGCTGATCAAGGAGGAAGAAGTGCTCGCCCTCCTGCTCTACACAGTTGAGGAGGAAGGAGCACCAGGAAGAAGAGAGGGAGGAGGAGGAGGAGCAAGACGAGCAAGAGGAGGAGGAGGAGGAGGAGGAGGAGGAGGAGGAGGTTCATGAAGAGGAGTGGGTACTCATACTCCTTTCGGCAAGTCCCATGTACTACAAGTACAACAGCGCCGCTGCGGTCATCAACAGCCACATGGTGAGCAGGCTAGTCATACTATCCCGACAGCTGCTGAGCAACCGGAAGGTTCTCCGAGAGATGAGCGGGCTGAGGACGCCTGGGAGGTTCTTGAAGGAGGAGGAGCAGGGAGTGTCGGGGGGAGTGAAGTACGGGCTGCTGAGCACAACGACCGACATCAAGACGGCTATCCAGTACGCTGGTCAAGGACTTCAGCCCATGGTCTTCGAGATCAGCTGCGGGGCCATCGACCGGGGAGCTAGCCTGGAGTTCCTATCTCAGTATCCCGGGGAGGAGGAGATACTGTCCTCCCCCCTGTTCTACCTGGAAGTCGTCAGGCAGCTCCAGATCAGGGAGGTGGAGGGCCGGCGGTGAGACTGGTGAAGCTGAAGTTCAACGTCAACGTCACAACGTCCACGATCGAGGACTTGGTGGGGAAGAGGAAGCAGCCCTACGTGGCTGTGATGGAGAACTAGGGGCGACTGAGACTCGCCAGGGTGAGGCGAGCTTCGAATACCACAAGGTAGGAGGAAGTCAGGCGGGTGGTACAATGACGAGAGCAACAACAAGGAAGCGATGGCGATGATGAAGATGGCGAAGAACAAGCTGAGGTTCTGGATCGAGGAGGTAGAGGGCGACTGGCAGTGTTGCAGCCTTGCAAAGCAGACGATGAAGGCCAAGGGGGAGGCAAGAGATGTTGCAGAAAATCTGACGGATGCTGGGCATGTCGATAGAGCAGGTAAGGGAGGGAAAAATCCTCCGACCGTCCTGGCAGTCCTGCGAGGGCAGGCAATTGTGATCCTCTGCCGCGTGTGCTGCACTCTGCAGGATGCGATTTGAACGCGCAAACCAAGGACGGGAGGACGGCGCTGCATGTAGCTTGCATGTTGAGGTTGAAGAGATACAGGAGCTGAAGGAGGCTGGGGCAGACGAGGATGCGAGGGATGAGGACGGCAGGACATGCGCGCCGCGCTGGCCGTGGGCCCGGGGTCCACCCCTGCGCTGCTCGCCTCAGGCCTGCCTCCGGGCCTGCCTCCGGGCCTGCCTCCGGGCGGCCTGCCGAGGCTCCGAGCCGCCGCCAAGCCTTGAAGTGCCACTGAGATGCCGCCGCGATGATGATCATCACTACTACTACGGTTTTACTTAAAGTTAAGTCAAAGATCAGTACGAGGACAGTACTACGGTAGTCCACTTGTTCGTAGCTCAGTTTCATGCCTCCTCTAGCGGGAGTCCGATCTGTGCCGCTGTGCGCGCCGCTGATCCGACTCAGTGTCAGTGAGCCCGGGCCCCGGGCCCGATTTGACCTCATCCCCGCTCAAACCGTTGGCAACAAAGCATTGTGACCGCCCTATGCGACCACCCCCTACCCCATATTACTACGTGAATTAGCTGTCGTTTAAGGGGGTGGTTGGGTTGCTCTAAAGGGTAGGGTGGGCGTTCAAACATGGCTGAGCGATCGGGAAGAGGAGGAGGAACAGGAGAGGGAGGAGGAGGAGGAGGAGGAAGTGGTGGGAGTGGTGGAATATCGAGGAGAGATGATGGTGAGAGCATTCGAGTAGCGATCAGGGTGAGGCCATTCAATGCTCGAGAGGCTGCTAGAGGCTGCAGATGCTGCGTGGAGATGGAGGGGAACAGAGTGGTTCTAAACAACGAAAGGGATAGAGGAGCCAACGAAGATGGGAAGCGATTCTTTAGCTTTGATCATTGCTACTGGTCTCATGATCGCTCTTGCGACAACTATGCATCTCAAGCGACAGTCTACAACGAGCTCGGAAAATTTGCCTTGGACAATGCCGTGTCTGGTTACAATGTTTGTCTCTTTGCTTATGGGCAAACAGGTTCAGGGAAGTCGTACAGCATGATAGGTGAAGAGGATGAAAAGGGAATAGTTCCGCGGGTAGTGCAAGATCTGTTCAAGTACATGGAATCGCAGAAAGACGAGAACGTCGCTTTCGAGGTTGTGACGTCGATGACTGAGATTTACAAGGAGAAGATCTTCGACTTGTTGAACCCCTCGCTCAGCGGGCGATCAAACTCTGACCTTCGTGTCCGCGAACACCCGAAGCATGGCCCTTACATTGAGGGCTTGACGGCCATGACAGCAAACAGCTATGCTGAGATTGAACGACAACTGGCCTTCGGATATCGGGCGCGAAGTGTGGCATCGACGAACATGAACGATGCTTCTTCGAGGGCTCACACCATCTTCTCCATCAAGTTCTGTCAGACTTCGCTGGAGCAGCTGCAAACAGGCTTCGCAAGGGAGACCAAGAAAGTGAGCCATATCAACCTGGTGGACTTGGCAGGCAGCGAGAGGCAGTCGAGCCGGCAGCTGTCAGGCGTCGAGCAAGCGAGGTTCAAGGAGGGGATCGCGATCAACAAGTCACTGTCAGCTCTTGCCAACTGCATCTTCGCCCTCTACAAGCAGTCTCAATCCAATCTGAAGGAGAAGATACACATCCCCTACCGAGACTCGCAGCTCACGTGGCTGCTCAAGGAGTCCCTGGGAGGAAACGCCAAGACCATCATGCTCGCGGCGATCAGCCCAGCAGACATCAACTACGAAGAGACCTTGTCGACGCTGCAGTATGCCAGCAGGGCGAAGAGGATCAAGACAAACGCGATCGTCAACGAGGACACCAACGACAGAATCATCCGAGAGCTGCGAGCTGAGATCGAGCGCCTGCGGCGGCAGGTGGCCGGGCAGCAGGTGCCGAGCCCCGTGTCGGAGGCAGACCTGGAGGTGCAGAGACTTCGCCAGCAGCTGCAGGAGAGTCAGAAGATGATAGAGCAGATGAACCAGCACTGGAATGAGGAGAGGAGGTCGAAGCAGCTGTCTCGCAGCTCCATGGGAGGCCTGTCCTTCTCTGGCAACGGCCTGTACATCGATGATCAGATGTGCCCACAGCTGGTGAATCTCAACGAAGACCCTCTCATGACAGAGTGCCTCGTCTACTTCCTCAGCCCGGGCCTGACCATCGTTGGGTCCGAGGTGGAGGATGTGGAGGGCGACAACAATAGCATCCCCCTGGTCAGCCAGACCATCGCCCCCCATCACTGCAGGATCCAGAGCGAGGGCGGGCAGGTGACCATCGAGCCGATCGAGGGAGCTCTCACGTTCGTGAACGGGCGGAGGATAGACGAGGCGACCCTGCTGCGGCAGGGCAACAGGGTGATGGTGGGGACGAGCCACATCTTTCGCTTCAACGACCCGGTGGAGGCGGCGAGGCTGCGGAGGGAGCGGGAGGAGTACCTCAAGGCACATCCTAACGAGGCCCTGACGGCGCCTGCCGTGATCGACTGGAACTACGCGATCGAGGAGCTCAAGGCCATGAGCGAGGATACGCTGCACAAGCAGGAGCTCGGCTCCAGCAGCTCCTCCCTCGACTCCGACGCCAGCACGCTGCCCTCCCCTGCTGCTCAGACCGGGCAGGTGCTCAGCTGCCATGGCGACCTCGGGGACAGCCCCGAGCTGACGGCTGAGGTCGGAGACGATGGCGCCGGTGGGCATCAAGGTACTGACGACGAGCGGGCTGGAGGTAGCAACCTGCAGGATCCCAGCAGCGCCCGAGCAGCAGGGCAGGGAGCAACGAGCTGGGAACGGGCAGTGACAACGGCAGGGATCGGAGTGCTGGTGCAGCGGCTCGGGGGGATGATCACGATCGTGGACCTGGTGGAAGGGGGGCCGGCGCACCTGTCGGGGGAGCTTCGGATAGGGCAGGTCGTGCTGGAGGTGGACGGCCTCGCAGTGGACCAGATAGGGTTCAAGGATGTGCTGCAGACTATCAGAGGGCCGGTGGGGAGCGAAATCACGCTCATGGTGCAGGACATGTCGGACGCTCAGGGGGAGGAGAGAGGGGTGAAGATCGTGAGGATGAAGAGGGGGGTGCTGCCGGAGGATGGGAAGGGGTACCTGTCGACCTTCTCGTCGGAGGGAGGGGAGTTGAGGAGGCAGGATGGTAGCCCGGGGATGTTCATGATGGATGGGATGACTGTGAAGAGCGAGAACTTGCCAGGTGATGAGCGCCGAGCATGGTCAACCCTCCTCCTCCTCCTCCTCCTCCTCCTTTCTTCGCCCCTCCTTCCTCCCTCCTTCGCCTCTCCTTCCTCGCGCCCAATCTCTCTTCCTTTCTTCCTCTCTCTCCCCCCTCTCCCCACCTCCCTTCTTCCGTCTCCCGGTGCATACCTGAGACCTGAACGAAACTCATGCTGTGCCGCAGGGGAGAACTCAGAGGAGAGCAGCGACGATGAGCTGAGCGAGCAGAGTGACGAGGACGAGGATGGAGATGATCTAGTCGACCTGACCGAGCTCGACTGTGCTCAAGACAAGCACATGGGGGGGCATGAGCTGCACGGGCAGCAAGAGAAGACGGAGAGTGGTTCGAACCCGGAGACGGACAGCTTCAAGCAGGCAAGCAACGGAGAGAGCAGTGGCAGCGAGGAGGATTCAGACGGAGAAGGAGGGGAAGGGGAGGAGAGCAGTTCCGATGCTGAGAACCTGGAGGACCTCGATGGGTCGTCGAGCGCGGCGAGCGAATCGCTGGAAGTCTTCGAGTCTCAACAGTCACCCGATGACAAGGCGAGAGGACGAGCTCCCGTCAAGAGCCGCTTGGCGGAGGATGAAGAGGAGGGGAGGAAGGCGGAGGTAGCGAGCAGGAGAGATGGTCCGTTGGTGGCTCCTTCTCCTTCCCACAAGCCAGCGATTAGCGTTCCAGGGGAGGGAGGACACAAACATCACAGTGACCGACATGCTCCGCTGTGTATCAAGATCGACGTGGAGCCGACCAACAAGCAGATTCCTTCCTACTCCCTCATGTTCAGCGTCGAGAAGGTCACCATGGGGCTGCGCTACGGCGTCGAGATCAAGGACCGTAAGACCATGCTCAAGGTCTATCACAGGTGATCCCCAACCTGCCTACTCTTCCTGTGCTCGCAGCTCCTCTCCTCACTCTCGACGTCCCTGACTGCCATGCAGATGTTTCCTCGGAGTGGACGCCATGAAGTGGCTGACTCAGCACGCCCTCAAGGCGTTCATGGACAAGGAGAGGATCAGCCACGAGGAAGCTCCAACTGACCGCCTGATGCTCCTGGCCAGGTCAATCCCTCCCCTCAGTTGCGTGATGGATTACCCATTCCTCCTCCTGCTGCTGCTGCTGCTGCTGCTGTTGCTGCTGTTGCCCCTTCTCCTTCTCCTTCTGCTGCTGCTGCTTCTCCTGCTGCTGCTGCTGCTGCTTCTCCTGCTGCTGCTGCTGCTTCTGCTTCTGCTTCTGCTGCTGCTGCTTCTCCTGCTGCTGCTTCTGCTTCTCCTGCTGCTGCTGCTGCTTCTCCTGCTGCTGCTGCTGCTGCTTCTCCTCCTCCTGCTGCTGCTGCTGCTTCTGCTGCTGCTCGTCCTGCTCGTCCTGCTCGTCCTGCTCGTCCTGCTCGTCCTCCTCCTGAATCCATGAAACGTGCCAGGAGAGCAGGGTATCGTAACGGATCGTAACAGTTGCATGAGGCAGGTCTGCGGCGTTTCTGCTCGGTCAGCGGCTGCTCGAGACGGAAGTTTTCAGGCAGATCAACAAGAGCAAACCCAACGTGAACGTGAGCTACTTGCTGCTGCTGCTGCTGCTGCTGCTCCTCCTCCTCCTGCAGCTACTTGCTGCTACTACTTGCTGCTCCTCCTCGTTTTCCTTTTCACCTGCAGCTACTTGCTGCTGCTGCTGCTGCTGCTGCTGCTCCTCCTCCTCCTCCTCCTCCTCCTCCTTCTCCTGCCGCTGCTGCTGCCGCTGATCCTCCCCGTCCTCCAGCTCGTCCTCCTTCTCCCCCTCCTGCTTCTATTGCTGCTGCTGCTTCATGCTTCTCCTTGCTGTTCCTCTATCTCCTTCCTGTCCCATTCTCCTCCCCTCTTCCTTGTCTGAATCTTCACGAACAAACTTCACTGTGCGTCACCTTCGCTGATCCTTCCCTCGCTTCCTCCTCCTCCCCTTCATCTCATCTTTTGCCTGCAGGTCTTCGAGGATCCAAACTCTCTCTTCAGGTTCAGAGAAGATGAGAAGGTCGTTCCACTCGCACTGTTTGCCTCCTCCTCCTCCTCCTCCTCCTCCTCCTCC